TATCATTATTTTATTTATTAATAAATTATTTGTTATTTTTTACGAATTTGATTCTTATTTTTGGATGGATATGGGGAAGCCAAATACGGATATTTATAGGTTGAATCTAGATATCTCAAATTTGAGGATATAATATGATATGTTTTCATTCATAAATGTATAGCATCATAAAATTGCAATAAATTTAACTATATCACAGTCTAGTAGAAGACAAACTGAGTGTATTATTCTTTATCAAATATATTTGTGGGAATGACATAATCTTATTTGATATGACAACACATAGGATGGTATCTTCAATCTTAATTGCACTAATATATATTAATTATATAAAATGACAAAATATATGTTGTGATTGAACCAAATAGAACATTTTGACCCTATAGTATAGCTTCTTCCTTACCTAGTAATCAAAGAGTTGTGAATTTTTCTTTTACCACATATGATATAACTTATTGGTAATTTGCCAAATTGAAGGATCATTGCCTCAAGTATTGATAACTCATATGAAACCCACTCAAAAGTTAAGGAATTCTAAAAGTTTCATAGATAGTTATCACTTATTGTATAAAACTTTATCACAGCTTTTGGCTATCAAAGTCTGTTTAAGCATAACTATGGATTGTGTTTTTGCTATGAATAGCAAAAAAGATGATAAGATTAGAGATAATATATGGAAAATAAAAGGAGACTGAAATAAAAGTACCGAAGAAACAAAAGAGGGCCAAATCATTGTCCTTCTCCTTTGACCATTCCCCACCCTCCTCCTCTTTCTCTCATCCCATTTATTTTTCTTATCATTATTATTAGAAAATTACTATATACTACTTCCTTTCGATAAAACCAAAAGAAGGATTGAAGTAAAAAGAAGACCACAAAAGGATTTTACCTTTAAATAGGATTATAAAAAAAAAAAAGTTATGAGAATTCTATATCTAACATTGAATAGTTGTGACAATCTAAGATTTCTTTCAATGACTAAACTGGCCAGTGAAGTTTCATGTTTAATCAGAATAGCGTCATAAATCTCTTTGAGATTTTCCATTTAGATTTTATTAGTTAAGTATATGCAAAAATAGGATAGCTTAGTTTTGTGTGTGTATTACATTATCATTAGAAAATAATCTTCATATTGATGATGATCTTATTGCTCATAGTAAAACAATAGTAATTTTATGCAACATATTAAACAACATAAACGACGGTTTTAAAAACACTTTCACAAGAAAACAGTTCTACACAGTACACACATAACAAAGATCCACACTAGCTAGTTTTATGTGAACCACACTCACGATAATAAATTTTATTTTCACCACACACACGAAATCTTAATGAATGACTCAACCAACACCACATCAGAAATTTTCTGTATGTATTTTTTATTGAAAAGTCAAATTTTCCTTAAGTTTACATCCATGCCTATGTAATAATTCATATTTGATGAGGATTGAAATCATGACTTGGTGTATAAGCATTAAACCCTTGCTAAACCATTTTCTAAAAGACGTCTACAACTTTGATTTGTTTTAGATTGACGAAATAAATTTTTCTGATTATATATTAAAAATAAATTTCCAAAATAGCTTAGACGAAAATGCATATCTATCTTGTTCATCACGTTTTTCGATAAATTATCGGTGATGTTTATTTTTCGGTTATATTTATGTGTGACAAAACTAGGTCTGGGCGTTCGGGTATCCGTTCGGTTCTGGTTCGGTTCCGGTTCTTTCGGTTCTAGAGTTTGGGATCCATATAGGAACCAAACAATTTTGGTTCAGTTCCGGTTCCGGTTCCGGTTCTGAAGTTTAGGATCCATTCGAATATTTTCTTTCGGATATTTTTAGGTCTTTTGGATATTTTGGGTATTTTTAGATATTTTCGAGTATTTTTTATATATTTTAAGTATTTTTTGATATATTTTCCAAATATTTGTTGGTATTTCGGGTATTTTTGGTTATTCGATCTAAAAATAGCTAATATTTTTAGATATAAACTCATATTTCGGGTATTTTCGGGTACCCGAAATATTTCGGTTCGGTTCGGTTCTAAAATTTAGGATCCATTTGAGTATTTTAAAATTTCGGTTCGGTTCCCGTTCGGTTCTTTTTGCTTCGGTTCCTTCGGTTCGGTTATTTTGCCCAGGTCTAGATAAAACTATGAAAACTTACAAAAAATATAAGAAAATTTACAATTGTTTCGGAATTATTCAAAAAGAATTCTGAATATTTTGAGAAATCATTACTTGGTTGTCTTTAACAAAAAGAAAAATACACAATTTGTTTTGCAATTTCTTACAAACTTTTTCCTAAAACTTTTTTTTTATAAATTACAATAATATCTGATGAGTTATAAAACTTATGAAACTTGTAGTAATAATCAATAATTCAATATCGAATCTGTAGTTTTTCTGTTTCTCGTTTGTATCGGGTACGATCCAATGGTAGTGTTACGATACAAAGAGAAGAAGGACAAAGATAAAATCATAAAAGGATAGAGATAAGAAGTTGTGTATATACATAATATGTTCTCATTCATTAATGATTGTTAAGTCTCTCTGTATGGAGTTGTAAAAACAGATTGTACTATACCGGTCAAATCCGGTCCTACTCACTATCATTCATCTAACTCCCTCCTTTGTATTTGTTTCTTCTTCTCTTATCACTGATTTTCACCACTGTCCTGTCATTTTCCGGTTTATTCTCGGTTTGGTTTTAGCCAAATTCCAAGTCCCCAAGTAACATCCTTGTTCTGGTTTAAAATGTCTTTTTTGGTCGAGAAAATCACATGGATCTTCTTCTTAAGACCAGCCCGACTCTGTTTCATCCATATTGGGCCAAGAAACATGTTCAAATCACACATCTCTATACTATTAAAAGAGAAGTACAAAAGTACTTGGGTCGGATTAAAAAATAAAATTAAAGAGTAATTGACCCGGAATTAGCTACTCGGATCTTCTTAAATTAAAATTAGATATCGTTTGGGTATAATTACAAAATATAACACGAAAAGCTAATACGTAGTAAATAGATTTCCAAATCTCGCTTAGCTCAAAACACGGCTTACGTGGCGAACAAGTTATATATGATCTTCTGGATATTCTTCGAGATCAAATTTTATTCTTTAATTTGTTTCCATCAACAACATACCAAACTTATTTAGCTTTAATACGTCTAAAAAATCCTCTAAATATTCCTCAAATCTCGCCCATAATATTTTTTGTATTTGAATCATAGAAACAATTATTACGATAATTACTCCTATTGCTAAGAACATATATTCTTATGAGATTTAAATTCCTTTTTTAAGATTTTTCAAACAAAACACAATCGGAAATCACGGTAACAAATATAATTTCCCATAACAAATTCCGAAAACCCTACTATCATTGGTCTATGCGTAACCAATATAAATATAGGATCAAATCATCTCTCAAACACATTTCTCTAAATTACCGTTTCATTTCTAAATTTCTTTCCATCGTATCTCCTTCGTTTTCATTTTGTTGTTTCATTCTTATCAAGCTTTCAAATTATCAGTTTTTACGCTTTCTCATGTTGAGACCATTTCATATTTCATATTTAATCTACAATAATAATTCTCTTTATTTTATTTATAAGTTACACCATTTTAACGTTACTGTTCTTTCTACCCAATTATATTCGTATCTTTCACCAAAACCAGGAAACGAATGATGAGATTTACTTTACGAATATATGTTAAGCTTCGTAAAGAATGTACAACCTCAGCATATGTTGCTTTTTATTAAACAAACTAAATAATTTAAATAAGCATTAAATTTTAACTATTTAATTTGTATAATATTTTCATAATTATTTATAGAGACACTAATTCGTATTTTAGAAAAAAATGGTGGAATTGACTATATTCATTTTTACTATCCTAAAATATTCAAAAAACGTAGTCATAATATTTAATAATCAAATCATAAAAAATTGATTCTAAAAACTTTCCCCCGCGGTGGCACCGCGGGCTCTGACCTAGTTCTATTTTGTACGATAAGAAAAAAAACATAAAGTAACATTTAGTCAAAATAAACTTATACAACATTTTATTTTAAACTCAGTTTTTATTATTTTATAAACCGAAAAATCTCTTAACAGAAACCAAACTTAGGGGTTGTTATTGGTTTATTAATTTGTAAACCCCCTTGCCCATTGGTTGATCAAGGGTTAAAATGCTTCTACATCGAGAGGTCTGGGGTTCGAGTCCCAAATACTGCGATTTATTAATATATTTGCAGATTATTGGAGGCAAGTGTGCATGAGATCTCCAGCGATGTACAATTATAGCCGTTCGCCAGGATTCTACGCAGAGAGGGAAGTGTCCATCAAGAGCATGAAGAAGGAGGTGAAAGAGGTGATGTCTGTCGTGAATCTAATAAGAGTCGGAAGGAATTGTCAGTTGTAGAATCGTCTATGTAAGAGTTCTCATAATTTGCAATAAATAATAAATCTAGAGGAAAAAAAAAAACAAACTTAGCACCCTTATGAATTGTCAGGAACACGAGAATGAAAGAATCTAACTTAAAGCAAACGCACAAAATAATCACAACTCAAAGCAATGTAGTGTACAGAAGTCAGAGTCTCTCTCACTTGTAGAGTTGTTCCATGACCAGTGCCGGTCCGAGCATTTGTGAGACCCTACACTAAATATAAAATGAGGCCCTGATATTTATTAACAATATTTAACATATGATTTTTTTTATATATGTTAATTTTTATTATTGTTTTTTAAAAATATCCAAAAAAATGGGCCTCAATATCACTAATTTAACTAAGTAAAATTTCAAAATGGGCCTCAATAACAAAAAAATACTAAAAAAAAAAAAAAAAAAAACCAAAAAAAAAAAAAAAATTGTGGGACCCCAAGCAGTGGCTTGGGTAGCCTGTCCTGCGCGCCGGGCCTGTCCATGACACTCTTCAGCTTCACCACATCAACACCTACAATCTCTGCTTTCTTCACGCCGCCTTTGAAGAATTGCAGTGTTGGTTGTATTCATCAATCATCATAATGCCTCATCAGATGGATCTCAACATTGATAACATTAGAGCTCATTTAGATGCGAAAGCTAGTTCATGCGTGATCTTAGAATGTAAAGTAATATTTTATATCTAAAAGGAACAGAGGATGTTACCACATCAGATACATTTAGCTTCCCAAATCCCAATAGCATTTGATAGACCGCCCTGCAAAGATGCAAGAAGAGATATGTTTGTCAATGGAGCTTACAATGATACTCATAAGGAGATAGCTTATTGATGTGGGGCTCAACCACAAAATTTCTTACTAAGTGTGACTTATGTCGCTTTTGAGTTTGTGACATCAAGAACCAGTTACATCAAGCATAGTGTAGCAATATAATGCAGAGGCGGAAGCGAAAACACAAGTTCTATCAAGTTCTCAAGAGAATCCTTGATAGCTAACGTAACCAATTGAGGTCGATGAGATATCGAGATCAACAAGGGTGTTGAGAGTCCTCCTCTCTAGCTTGACACAAGCTTTTTGGACAATTAAGATTGCCTCTTTTTGGTTTTTCCTTATAAATCTCAAAACTGACTTGAACAACGACTCGACTAGGCTTTATATAAGCCTTAACACCAACAACTAACGATAATCTTAAATCTCCTAAGACAAGGATATATTAATATCCATAAGTAAATAAAATCCCAACAATAAAGAAATGAAAAAGAAAAAAAAAGACTCAACACCATAAGTCGTTTGCGTAAAAGCCCACGAACGCAAACGACAAAAGCCCAAAAGGCGACGATGCGCTGCATCACAATATCTCTCAAACTTTACATTAGTTGAGTTATTCATTTGGTTCGAGATATCGATTAATTTAAAGGGTTTAGATAGCAGATACTTTATTTGCTCAAAAAAAAAAAAAAAAAAAGATAGCAGATACTTATAAAAGATTCTAACCACAGAACAAAACCATAAACAATGGTGAATTCGGTCTCATGATGACACATGTAGAGACCTATAAAAGTCATGCTGGTGAACATAGAAGCAAACATACCTCGTCAATGTCAACCTTATACGTTGTTACATCAGGATATTTATTACTGAGCTCCAATATTACAGGAGAGATAAGCCTGCCTAGAGTCAAACCACTAATACACAAATTAATAACGCGCACTACTAGAAAAGATTACTATCCACAAGCTTTCATGGAACTAAAACTTACAAAGTCTGATTGCTCGAGTAATTACCTGAAATATCTAACCGTTAGGTCGTATATTCAAGGTCGATCCATAAGGACCAAAGATACTGTAAGGATTTCCGAAACTTGTTCTTAGCTAAAACGCAATGGTTGTTTGGTTTTTGGGTTATCAAGTAAAACAATAAAATAAAAAACATACCAAAAGTATTTAAAATAATTGCCAACCAGAACTTACTAGTAAAACTAAACAGTAACAAAGTTGAGAATTGCTTCACCACTATATTGATAAAATTTTAAATAATTTATGAGTTTTTCTAAGTGAAGTGAAGGATTTCAGATTGAATAGACAGTTTAGACTAGTACAATTAGTATTTTTTTTATAGTATTTTTCAGCATTGATAGGATAACATATAGTGTCAACCAATTAAACATAATTTGTTTGTTGGTCATTTTCCAAAAAATATATGGTCAGATTATATAGAAACCCAATGGGCCTAACTATATAGAAACCCAATTCGTTTATACTCTCTTTGAACCACATTTACTAAATTGTGGCATGTAATTTGGTTAAACCATTTCAAACCGAATCAAAAACCATCTACCAAAATTGAAGCCCATTGGCATTTACTTATTCTATATCAAAACTTGTAATAGAACAAAAATCCAAAGTTTATTTTAAATAAATTTCAGTTTAAAGATAAGTTCGTTAACAAAATGAATTCTAAACTGAAATCAAAATTATAGTAAACCATTTGATTCGCTAGCTCACAGTCAAATTCTTTCTTTATTGCATTGTAATATTACCTAAACAAAACTCAATATATTGTATTCTATGTGTGACCATATTACAATGTTTTAGGCTATGAGGAACAACTGCAAACTATAGAACTGTGACCCCAATGATTAATATGCATATATTTTATATACACATACTGTTCTCCCGTTCTACTGCTTTCTACTACAGAATGACCGATGTTTCAAATAGTTTATATCACTACCATAATTTTATCAAATCACTTAGCTATACTAGTTGATCGTGCATGCTCGTCATTAACGATACAAAGAACCTCTATACGAGGGACTCCAATAGTCAGTTGCGCTGTTATCGCGGTATGCGATTGGGGTGCAAGAAATAGGAACCAAACAAAGGCCTCTACTCCTTAGATCTAGATGTTTCGGTCCCCTTTTGTTGTGATCTTCTCTATCCCATCCTCCCCATGGATCCTAGAACCATATATACGAGATTATAGTTATTTAAAGTAAGAGATTTCCTTTTATAAAAATTTATTAACAAACTATTTTAAAAACTTTAAGAAAAATTTACCACCCATTTTCTCCTTAAAACATTACCTTAATTGATGAATTCTTCATATAAGGAGTGCTTAGCAGCTGCACGATCGTTAAAATCATCAACCAAATTGTTATTTTTGTAATTTTCACCGTAAATAAGTAAAACAATTTACCTTAACTTGCTCTTGATAAAAATTTATATAAGTGATGGCTTCTTGAAGCACAGAAGCAGTATCCGTCTGAAATGTTTTCAAACCAATGTGTCATTTTCTTCGTTGTATTATATAAAAAGGAACGTTGAAAGAGAGGAGAACAATATATAATAAAAAAAACGAAACTAGAAAAAGCAATTTGAGAAAACAAAAGAAAGGAAAAAAAAAGGTCTTTTTGTAGTTACCTTTCCAAAGGGAGACACAATTTGCTGTAGAGTCGTGATCTTGTCTCGAAGTTTGGCTTTTGGTAGTTCCTGCCATTTATTTTTCAAAAATAATGTTATGGTTTTGATTTTTTATGTATTTCTTAAGCCGATTTAGTCTCATTCAGAAAATTAATTACATACCCTGCATTCATATGAATATAAGAGTGACAAATTTCTTACGTGTTTATCATAGAAAATCACAATACAATAAGAGGATTATATTATATAGAAATTACCTTCTCCGGCGAAAGTGTAGAGCCGGCGCTGCACTTGGCCTTCTTGGAGACCTCATCGGAAATTTCTTCACATCTTTTCTTCTTCCCTGCGTTTGTTGTTCCCAATCTCACTGCTGCCTGCAAAAATAGCTTTCAAGTTCATGTTTAGCGTCAAAAAAAAAAAAAAGGTTCGTGTATTTAACGTCGGTACATAGACTTTCATTCGTAATACTAGCTTAATGGTGCAATAACAAAATGTTGAATTGTTTTGTGGAGTTAAATGTTGAATTTGACATTAAGAAAAACATGCAAATAGCAGCGAAAGAAAACAAAAAGTTCCAACTATACCACAAACGTTATGGTTATAGATTAAGTGTCCCTTTTTGAAAAATTTCTCAAACTTATGGCATTTTTAAAACTACAATTTGTTTTCTTGGTATGTTAGGATATATTTTTCAAAATATAATATATAGAGGTCCCTAATATATATTGCCACAAAATTCTGGCAAATTTTGTTCATAAACATAGTAACATCCGTTACCAAACATAACGATGCAACCAGGGCCGTGACAATGAGTTAAAAAAAAGGCATTTGCCTTAGGTCCCCTCTAAATTAATCAAATTTTGGCCCCAAAATTTAAAAAATTATATAGAATATTAGTAAAATATTTTTATTTTTAGTGTTATTTTTCTTAAGTTTGAAATTTTGTTTAATATATCAAAACTATTTTTATTTATCTCTAATAATTTACAATATAATGGTTTTGAATTTTAGTATTTTCATAGATAAAAAGTGTTAACTAAGAAAATAGAATACAAAAATTGTATAAAATTATATATATATATATATATATATATATATATAGTTAATTGTACAAAATGTTATTTTCATAGATTAAGAACATAGTGCTAAATATTTCTAGTTTATTATAAAAAATATTTTTAGTATTAGTTATAAATTATAACACATTTTATTATGAAAATGTATAAACCATTTCGTTTTTTTTTTTGCCTTAGGCCACCAAAACTCTAGGCACGACCCTGGATGCAACAGAAATATCAATGTTAAATCCATTGTTAACTGGAACGTTTTACCCAATGTCGTTAATAAGCTATTGTATCACATATTTAATTATATGAACAGATTTGATAGCGTATACGTACCAGTGATGCCGTTTGATGTTCTTTCTTGTTGAACTCCGATACGTTTAAGGCCTTAAAGCATGGCTTAAACGACGGATTAATATCCATTAATGGCCTACTTAACCTTACATCAAGGAAATTTCTAGAACTTTCTATAGGATCATGGAACAAGGAACCACCGCCACTTGAGCCATTATTGTAACAAAGATCTTCCTCATTTTTCACCTCCAAGGCTTGTCTGTACATAGAAACGTCGTCGTTTGTTTGAGAATGATCATGATCGAAGTGATGATGAAGGTTATGGTTCATGTCGGGATTATTCGGTGGCGCAATTGACCAGTGCTTGCCTACAAGATCCGTTAACTTTGACAGCCGTTGGTCACTACTTTGATCGTACCTAACTTGATTTGTGTCATAGATCCAACCGTTACCATAATTATGGCAGGCTGACTCGAATGATGGTAGTTCTGATGTTGTTGATGAATTTCTTGAAGATGTTATGTGATGATTATGATGATGATGATCCATCATTTGATCTCCTAAGCTTCTACTAGGCCTGCCCATTTATATAATTTTATCAATGTGTGTATAAAATATGATATTTAATGTTAAAAAACTTAAGGTAAATATATATGGCCGCATGAATTTTTGTGTTAATGCTAGATTATTGTTTTTACTTTCAGAATAAGAAACACTAGATATTAATACTTTCATTAAAATTTTTTGGAATATTATAAACAGATACAATATGGTTATTTTGGTTTGCATTTTACATGTTCGTTTATATTTTTCAAGTAATTAATGCTTACTACGACAACTTTTTTTTTTGAACTACTACAACATCTTTTACTTTAAAATACGAATAAACTATATCTTCGAGTGACCAATGATATAGTTGAATCATAAGTGCAAAATTATAGGCATACCCTAACCAATCAAACGTTAAATCATTTATTGGGGAACAATAATTCAAAAGAGCTAGCTACTAATATACTTTCTGTAAACCAACTTTTAGACCTCTCTTTTGTTTCTAATGTTTTTTTATTTTATTTTTTAAACCTGGAAAGCATTCATTTTTTTTTAAAGCAAACAAAAATAATAATAGTATGAACTAGATGATATCTTTATGGAGTGGAGCGTAGAACTTTAAACCATAAACTAAACTTTGATTCACAATTACCGCTATGTGAATTGTAAGGAAGAACGCGAAACTCAAAGAAGAATTGTTCATAAGTTGGAGAAGATAAATATATATTTAAGTGTTTTTATAGATACTTACAAGAAGGCAAGACTCCATAGATGATTATGAGAAGAGACTACGTGGTCGCGGAGCAACTCATCGGAAGAGGAGGCAGGCTGATTTGGAGCTGAGAGAGACTGATGATTAGAGGATTCAGCTGTTAGGTCCAAACGATTTGAAGCGCTCACGGTAGAGATCGAGAGATTGTCTTCTTCACAGCTAGCGTTTGCGTTTGAGTTGTTATTACTATTCTTATGGTAAAACGACGTCGAATTAATCGAGTTTGCATGATCATTATGATGATGTTGAACATCTTCCCACCATGATGAACTTGGAGTACATTCTTCCCTTAACATTTTCCTTTCTTCGAACTTTTTTTCTTTTGCTAGCTTCTTCTTTTATTTTGTTGGTTAGGAGTCTAGAGGATATGTGCATTAGAGAATATAAAGTGTATATGATACGATCGGTGGTGGTGACAATATTATATGCGAGTGGGGTATGTCCACTACATTACATTTAAAATTACATATAGTTATATATATGTATCTAAGCCACCGAAGGATGTGTTATATGCGGTCTGCGTAAGATGGTACGTCAATTAAAGATGTGTTTGACCTCTACATGAACTTGTCACATTTTTCCGGTAACTATATATATGGATCTTGGTATATTTTACAATTAGTTAAAATTCTACAGAACCTAATAATGTATATTAGTAGGTATTAATCTTTGGATAAGAAACATGCAGAGTCACAAACTAACGAAAAAATAGAGGTTTCCTATAAACAGAATATGAACCAATAGATAATTTGATAGTAGTCAAAATGGTTATTTTTTTTATTATAGTTATTTCCTTTTCAACAATGTTATTTGGAGATTAATCTAAGTTTAAAAGAATGGGGTTTCAAAACATGTTTTTTTTTTCCTCAGAGAAAGAGTTATGTCTCCGCCATAATGTACATTGTCATCATACTTGGTATTTGCCTATTTGGCCAACCTATAAACCAAAATCCGCCTGTTACCAAAATGTGCATCCACCACACGTGAATGCGGGTGCCACAAGTTCGTGACATGAGGCCTGAAAATTACTATTACCCAAAAATTGTTGTTTCATTCTCTTGTTAAATATGCGTTGGCGGGCGAAAGCATAGCCATACTAGAAGTTCCACGCTTTATAAGTGCATAAGGAGTAGAATTGGACTCGGAGTCAGTAGTCACTTGCTAATCTTTTATGATGATTCGGTTCTAGAGCCCTATCTACAATATATCAAAATTTATGTCGTCTTCTTTTCAAATAATTAATTTCTTTTGAATTTTGATCGAGAGAAGCCAATTATTTGGCTTGATTCCCATGCTACATTAAGTTTGACCAACTTCTTTTCTTTTGCCCTCCAGCTTTAATAAAGATGTTAGTTTGCCGACCAAAAGGTTTAGTTTTTTGTTTTTGATCGATAACATAATTTCTGATAACGAAAGTAAAATTACATAATATTTTTTTGTAAAATTGAATTATAGATGAAAAACAAGAGAGTAACTGAAAACTGATTATTATCACATATAGTTGATTGCTTTCTATCATGCATGTTGTATGAATACCATTATGGAAAGACTTGAGCTTCTCATACCAAAAAAAAACCTAGAGCGAAGGTGTAGAAGGGGCAATAGGGTTTATTTCTTTTAATTATTTTTTGGGTCCAATTATTATAAAAAGTGGACAGATGATGCCAAACAAATACATTAAATTAACTTGGATATGTTAATTAAATATGCAAGCGTGATTATTGATACACGTTATTATCTTTTATAAAAAAAAAAATCGTAACTAAAAGTAAGGGGCATTATAGAATATTAAATGTTTATTTTGTAAGGTTTCAAATTACCGAACAAAGAAGCACTCATTGTTCCAATCTACATATTTTTTCATGTAATACTCCATAGCAAATCTCAGTGTGTGTAATTCAGTTTTCAGTTGTTTTGAATTTTGATCGAGTGAAAAATATATGAACCAAATAGCAATTATATCCTTTGTAAGCATATTAATTGGTATATTATATAAAATAAATAAAAAGAAGCTTTAAACTTTTCATAAATTCAGAAATTGTGATTCAAGTATTAATAGCAGAAAAAAACACTAATCAATTGTGATTTATCATATATTTGTAGACATCTAAATTATAAAACTTTTCTATTATAAAAAAAATAAATAATCAATACTACTAGAAATTGGAGATTCATTTTTACCACAACCGATGGTCGATATAAGTTTTCTTGGGGTTTTGTTTCTATTTACGCATCTAAGTAGTACTTAATATTGACTTATATCGTAAGCTTAAATTTGATGCTTACTTGTTTGGTGACACGAAACCTAGCAATTAATAAAGGGTTACGATTCCATACTGGCCCTAACTTTTGATTTCAAAAAGATAATTTAAAGTATTAATCAATAATCACGCCTGTTTAATTAATTTATTATCGTTTCTTGGTGCGCTATTTATTTTCTCAGGTATTCATAACTTTTAATCCGAGTCCAATCCCACTCCAAAAGTTTCTTGTCTTTTGCGACATCTTTTTTTCTTCTTTCATATTTTAATAAATAACAATTTTAAAAGAGATTGAGTGGCCAAATTTGCTGAGGTTGACTTTTGTTTAATTCATTATCATTTATATTTGACTCTTTATATATTAGTCAATAACCAATCGATAGCACCATAACCCAAGATGTTTTTCTAATGGCCAAAAGTTTAAGTGAAAAAACAATTGGTGATTATAGTTTGGTTACATGAAACCACATAAAAGTTAGTGGAAGAGAACGATTAGGCCAGTTATGGAAGTATTCTAGGCCCATTTTATTTATTGGTGTTTGGTCATTCCTCATAGGCCCATTCATGATTCATGCATGAAACCATCAAGTTCAGGTTCGTTGGGCGAGGAAGTTTAAAATTTGCCAATCACATATTTTGTTAAACGGTAAGGAAAAAAAAAAAGTTCCAAGGAAAGGTAGATACAATTTATGTGGAGTTAGCAACGCTTCAAAACACCCAACTTGGTTATATAAACTAAGAAAGTTTTGTCGGCTTAGGGTTACGGTAACTTGATGAAAACCTTAAGGTTGGGGTGTATAACTTGGTCCAGCTATTATTTTGGAACCGGACACCTAAACAGGATGAAGTATGATGTGTTTTGGTCTCTTTGCCAGTCATCCAAAAATGCTTTTTGTACCGCATAGCGCCACATTACTTATTGTTATGGTCCCAAGTTAAAATGTACCTTGTCAAATTTGTCATGCATTGGTAAGTGCTACAACTATAAGAGCCGAGAGAAAAAATAATACTAAAAGTTAAACTGATATATATGATGCTTCGTGATTCACTAAAAATAGGTTAACATGACGCTAAATAAGTAATTCTCTTAAGTCCAAGTCTTAGTGACAACTTTTAACCCTAAGTATATGCATTCTTTTTGACAATATTGAATTTTTTGTTAACAATACCCGGCTGATAAATGATGTGATACGCTCTAATTGTCTTATAATAGTATATTATTACTTTTCAAAATTTTAAATCAAAGAATGATTATCTATTTTTATATATTTAAATAGTTAAAATATTAGATACCAATAAAGCTGGCTAAATTGATTAGGCCAAACTAAATTGTGACCGTCCGTCTAACTAAGTTTGATGTAACAATTGAATAATCAACTCACCAAATCTCTAAATGGACATTTCTATGCGATACTTATCTGATGATAATTCTTTGTAGATTAAGAACAGAAGCAATGATTAGTCGATTATAAGTCTATGGCCAAATGAAATGATGGGCCAATGTTCATTATTTTCTTTGTTTTTAGCCAACAATGATGGCCCAATGTTCAGAAAACTTAGCTTCAAAATGCTATTTATTTAAATATGTACTGTAATCATTATTTTTCTAAAATATTATCTTACTTTTGTTTAGCTGTCTTTGTTAATTAAAGTAATGTTGGGTGCACTAGAGACTAGAGGCCCCAATTCAACTCATACTCGATTTATACCTTTCTCCAATTTCTCCACCTTGAACTAACGGTAGCTTAATGAATTATCAATACAAATTTTAAATATAAGAACAGAATCCATATAGTTTCGTGAATATTACAACACCATCCTTTTAACTATTTTTTTTTGTATATCAATGTGTTTAAATGATATATCGATTATCATATATACAAAAATAAAAAAAAAGTGATTTTGAAATATATAACCGTTAAATATATTTGAAACTACCAATTGCACACGAGGTCATATGTTTTGGGGGAAAGTCGCGCAAGATCTTAAGCTGGAGCAAGAATTGCATGGGTTATATCATTTTTTTTTTGTTAAAAGGCTTTTATTATTTAAAGATTTTAAACTACTAGGAATCCAAAAGAATCAAGAATAAATAACTGAAATTTACACAACCAAGCAGAAAAAAAGAAAAGAGAAGAAGAAGGGAAGAAGGAAAGGTCCAGATATTTGCATGGGTTATATCATATAGTAGTTTTCTTATAATGTAAGCACAGTTCCAATGTAACAAAGCGAATAGTATGTAGATATAAATACATTTTATGGGTTTACTGATTTTTTTTGCAAAGTCATGTAACTAACCAATCCGTATATATTTATAGTCCAGTTAGGCATGTATCCAAAGTTCAGCCATTATCAAATAGTATCCATTTTATTATTATTTTTGTATGAAATATTGTTACTATCCATTTATTATTAAGCTACACGGTATCAATCAATAAAAAAAGGAATTCGAATACATATGCCTAAAGATGATGGATCCGATTGGTAACCAAAAATTGTATCAGATTTTTAGCTGTTAGTTGGAGTTGTAAGTTTTTCCGGAATAGTACAAAACTGCCAAAAAGAGATGTACGAGAAAGCTATACAATAAATTTAAGAATAAAATTTTTGATAACGCTTTTGATAACATTTTTATGATTGGTAACTGTAAAAAATAAATACATAGTATTGTAGCAATACGCGATTACCATTGAGAGCCGCTATATATAAACTCCAACAACCCATAACATTGCACCTTAGTACCATAAATACATACGCAATTCCCCATACAGTTAGACATATTTTTTTCCATCGCGCAATTAAGAGTTCCCATTATATACTATGTCGGTCATTCATATTTTAACAAAAAATGGGAATATATACCAAATTATATAAATCATATATTGTCCATTATAAATCGAAAGATCCGTCTATTGTGGATAAACTTTAATAAAGCTAGTATGATATATATTAAAATAATATAAGAAAATGAGATCTAAAACCAAGAGTGTGTGATCCAATAATTTGTTTGAAATGTAAAAAACTTATCATATGGATCAAAACTAGGAATCGAATTCTATTATCTAGAAAACTCATTGTAGTTTTTTAAATAGTTACTATAGACATTTTAAACAGAAAAATTATTTGATTTGATTTTTTTTTATCGATTTTCGCTCAGTCTTTGAGATTAAGACTAAGTCACTAAGATCTATTCCGGTCATGTAAAAGAGTTTTTATAGAAATATGCATTTTTTACAAATATTTTTTCAAAATGAGCACTTTTACTTTTTTTTTTAACAATATATACATTTTTTCATAAAATACCAATATTGTACACGTCGGCATTTGTTTACAAGATATACAAATAAACCATTTGTAAACACCAAATTTGGTATAAAGTGGCTATTTCAACACTCTAAATATGCCTTCTTTGTAAAATTTTCTCAAAATTGTGCATTTTCTATTATATATAGATGGGATATAAGATGAATAGTTTTTGTCATTAATAATTAGAAAAGGAAAATCGAAACCCGCTTAATAAGCCAGAAGGGCTAAGCAACAAACTGTCGGAGAGCTCTGACAGAATGCATGAGACTAACAAAAAGGGGTAAAACAGTCATTTCAGAACTCCAGTTGTTACACGTTGATTGATTTGTTGATTCTTGTCTTCTTCGCCACTGTTTTGCTCTCTCCGCTCGTGTTATTAAAACCTTATATTATAAAATCCCTTCCGAAAAACTCAACCAAACGTCACAAACCCAAAACCGAATCGTTTTTAGCCTCCGAGAGAGAGAGAGAGAGAGAGATCTACAGATAGAGAATGAGAGAACCGTCGATGGAGACAGAGAATGGTGCTTTAACGACGGCGACAACAACGACGACGGCGGTGACTTCTCCACCTCCAATGGCTTCTTCACCGCGTCAAGCTTTAGTTGAGAGATTAAAAGATTATGGACAAGAAGATATTTTCTCTCTTTGGGATGAACTTTCACCAGACGAAAAAGATTTTCTCGTTAGAGATATTGAGGTTTGTGTTTTCGATTTCGCATTATTTCAAAATTCTTCGTTAAGATTTGGATCTCAGATTCAATCTAAGTGTATTTTTTTTTTTTTGTTTACAGAATTTGGATCTTCCAAGAATAGATCGGATTATAAGATGTTCACTTCACTCTCAAGGTTTACAATTCTTTACTCTAATCAAATTAGTTAACATGCATTGTAGTATTGTACTATAATCTCTGTTTTTTCCGGTTAATTAGGTTTACCGGTGGCGGCGATCGAACCGGTACCGGAGAATTGGGTTTCGACAGTAGATGGAAGAACAATGGAAGATAGAGAGAAATGGTGGAAAATGGGATTAAAAACTATCTATGAAGGCAAATTAGGTGTTGTGCTTTTATCTGGTGGACAGGTAAATTATTAATTTATAATGCAATTTGTCTTAATTAAGTAGCTACTTAGAGTGCTAAATGATTCTCTTGTTGATGGTTGAGATTTTGGGTTTTGGAATAATAATGCTACTACCTAACTAAAAAAAGTTGAATTAAAGATTATAAGACTTTAGTGTAGTGTTGTACTTTATGTAATTGCTATATAATTTGAAACGGAAATAAAGTGTTGTTTAGATAAGTAGGGTTATTAAAAGGGTTTGATTATATTGGCAAACAATAATGATTGATTAATTTCAGACAAATCACTGTCGGTGGTGCATTTTATTGTTTTTGAGTAATTGTGATTTCTAGGAGGAACCTTCTGCTTAATTTTAAGGAGGATGATGATGATCACGTGATCTGAAAGATGCTTTATAGGATTCCGTAACTTTTTATTATTATATTAGGAGGATGCTCTGTTTCGTGTGTTGTAAGGAAGGTTGAAAAATTTCTGGTTTTGAAGATATGTGTTGCTTGAAGTTGATGATTACTTAGTTACATAACTTGAGAATATCTTTTATATATTCCAGTTATGTTTTTGCAACATTTCTCAAGTGATTTGATAATCAACATGGTTTGGTTATTGATACTAATGCAGGGAACAAGGCTTGGAAGCTCAGATCCAAAAGGATGTTTCAGTGAGTACTTATGTGGTTTCCTCTGTTTTGTTTAATCTTCTCTATAGTCACATTCAGAACAACTGTTTAGAAATGGACCTTAGAATGGACTTGTGAGTTGTGTCATAGAGTCAGCTCGCGTTTCGTTCTTTCGATATACAAATTTAACGAATCTTATGTATCATTTGCTTAGAGTAATAAGATTACTTTGATTCTTTGTTACTCTCTAGGCTTAGGACCTTAGGTTGTTGTATTGCTTGAACCCATGATGGTTACTTAAAAAAGTAGTTATTGACTTATTTCCATCTTAGATATCGGACTACCATCAGGGAAATCGCTCTTTCAGATTCAAGCAGAGAGAATCTTGTGTGTTCAAAGACTTGCTGCTCAAGTAGTGAGTGAAGGTGAGTGAGAGTACTCATGGCTTCTTCTACATTCCAACGGATATGTGTAACTTTACATCATATATGACACTCTTTTCCGCATAATATCTTTCGTTCAGGTCCAATTCGTCCAGTTACAATACATTGGTATATTATGACTAGCCCATTTACTGATGAAGCGACACGAAAATATTTCTCGAGTCACAAGTACTTTGGTCTTGAACCAGATCAAGTAAGATGCTTCTTATTTTATGAACATTCCTTGATGTTGTTTCCTTCGTGTCTTAGACCAATCTTGATCACTTCTTACTACAGATCAGTTTTTTCCAACAAGGTACATTGCCTTGCGTTACAAAGGATGGAAAATTTATTATGGAGACACCTTTCAGTGTATGTACAGTTAAAAAATGACAAGTACTCACTTTTGTTTTCAGTACTCACTTAATGAGTTTCATTACATATCATTAACAGCTAGCTAAAGCTCCAGATGGTAACGGCGGAGTCTATGCAGGTATATATGTTTACTAAATTTTGATTCTGTTCTTTACTATCATACATATGTTCTATTCAAACCGTTGCTGATGCTGATCCGAGACTTTTACAGCGCTAAAGTGTTCAAGGCTATTAGAGGATATGGCTTCTAGGGGGATTAAATACGTCGATTGCTATGGCGTTGACAATGTCCTGGTTAGCTCTCTAGTGTAATCTTGAGTCTTGACATGTGTTTGTTTCCTCAACGTTGTTATAATGTGGAATCTTGAAAAAACAGGTTCGAGTAGCTGATCCTACTTTTCTTGGATACTTTATCGATAAAGGGGCTGCTTCGGCTGCAAAAGTTGTGCGGAAGGTATATAACATCATACAATCTCACTGGTGACTAAAAAAACTTAATTTTCTTTATATTTCTCTATGTACAAAAACAGGCATATCCTCAAGAGCAGGTAGGAGTGTTTGTTAGAAGAGGTAAAGGAGGACCGTTGACAGTAGTTGAGTATAGTGAGCTTGATCAGTCTATGGCTTCTGCTATTAATCAACGAACAGGACGTCTTCAATATTGCTGGAGTAACGTAAATTCCTTTTCTCTTCTTCTTCTTCATTTTCTTATGAATTTCACTACTAATCCAAAATTGTGTATTTACATCTTTCTTAGGTGTGCTTACACATGTTTACTTTAGATTTCCTTAATCAAGTCGCGACCGGCCTAGAAAAAGATAGTGTGTAAGTTCTCTTCAAAGACAAACGAATCTGGCAGTCAAAATGTTATTGAATTGTGGTTTGTGGCAGGTACCATTTGGCGGAGAAGAAGATACCATCTATGAATGGATACACAATGGGACTAAAACTAGAACAATTCATTTTTGATTCGTTTCCTTATGCTCCCTCAACCGCACTTTTTGAGGTATATTATCAATTCATTTACACAATATACTAACTAAAAAAACCAAATATTAGAAACTGAGAAATTGGATTGTGCTATGTGTAGGTTTTAAGGGAAGAGGAGTTTGCACCAGTGAAGAATGTTAATGGGTCGAATTTTGATACACCGGAGAGTGCCAGGCTTTTGGTTCTAAGGTTACACACACGTTGGGTTATAGCAGCAGGAGGATTTCTAACACATTCTGTGCCTTTATATGCTACTGGTAACTCTCAAAATAAATCTTCTCATTACTGTGTTTTTATTTATTTATTTATTTTACTTTTCTATTCAACGAATATATTTTTCTTATATGCAAAATCGAATTGATTTTAGGTGTAGAGGTTTCACCTTTGTGCTCATACGCCGGAGAAAATCTTGAAGCTATTTGTCGAGGAAGAACGTTTCATGCACCTTGTGAAATTTCCCTCTAATGGTTTTTGTGTTTTTGTTTTGGGGTATTAAAATCTTTTCTTCATTTTTATGTGCTTTGTTTTCTTTGTTTCCGGTTGTGGTTTATATATAAACTGATTATCTTCCCATGAGAGAGAGAAAGAGAGAGTCAAAGAGGTCTTGGCGTTTTGTATCCATTAATGTAACATATCTAATAAAAAATTTATGTTGGTTTTTGAATCTTTTAGGTATAGTTTTGGAGATGAGGAGCAAAACTGATTTTTAGATGATTTATACTTAACAGAAAAGAAAAAAAAAACTACAAGCGAACTCTTTATTGTATGCTCGAAAGCAAGTCTCAAACATCACATATTAATGAGGAAAATGTATGACATTAGTGAAGAGCGAAGTGACTAGATACAGATCGGTTTGATCTTATAAACCGAAATCAAACTGAATAAACCAAACCAATCAATGCCCTAGGCACCGAACTCTATATGTTGTTGCGTTTCGAAGCAATGGGCGTTCAAACTTGGCAGTCAAGATTTCAGCCAGTTGTTGCTGACCAAGTCCTCCACTCCTCCACTCCTCCACGTCTCTTATTGGCCGTCAAACGATTCAACGGTGGTAAATCTGAATGGCTCTTCTACTCGCCACGTCACCCTCATCATCCATATGCAAAGTATAGTGTACGTAGTAGCGGTCGATTTTCACACCAAGTTCCCTAAAAGCCAACATGCTTTTGTGATATCAACAATGCAATGCTTTAGTGTTAACGATGCAATGCAACTCAAGTCAAGCATATATGCTCCAGATCAAGATCGTCATAAGTTTGAGAGTATTAACAAATTTGATGCTTTGTGTTGTTTAAATGATGATTACTATAGAGGAGTCTAAACGTGATTGGTTCCTTGCTCCTTAAGTCAGCTAAAAAAGCTCTCTATTTGATACAAGTTGTATTCTCTTTCTGGAAACATCAAGTTATCTAATTATAAGTTCTTATGAAAAAAAAAAAAAAAAAAAAAAAAAAAAAAAAAAAAAGTTCTTATGAAATTAAATTAAGCTTTATTCAAGTCAGAGCCATGGGCGGATCTAGGTGTGTGGGAGGTAGGGCACGTGCCCTACACTAAATTAGAAATCTTAGCTTGTAAACCTATGCAGTTTAAATGATTCAGCACAAATGGTTTAGTGTTTTCAATATTCGTCCTTCCTTACCCAGGTTCGAACTAGTTGGAGTAATTTTTCTTCTTTTGACTTTGGAATGTCTCACGTAAGAGCTGATTTTAGATGATTTATAATTAACAAAAAAAGAAAAACACTACTAGCTCACTCTTTCTTTATATGCTCGAAAGCCTTAAACATCACATATATCTTAATGGTGGAAATGTCTGAAATTAGTGAAGAAAAAAGTGATCACATACTTGAAATTGGATCCCATATTTTACGTGACATGACTTTTTAAGGGTTAGGGGTTTTGAGAAGTTAGTAGTTAGAATATAAATGAACCTAAGAGATCAATAGAAGACTGTCAATTTGTTACTTGTGTACGACCCGCAGTATGACAAGGGATGCTGATCAGTTTTATGCCTTTAGACCAAAATCAAACCAAACCAAACCAAACCAAACCAACCCAAACCAATTAATGCCCTAGGTTCCGATTCCTATATATTGGCTCTCTTCGTCCGATCACAATATAACAAGATGAATAGAGAAAAAACCTTAGATTCCATTCCAATTGATGTCTTTCTCGATATCTTCTCGAGATTACCTGCAAAGTCAGTCGGGAGGAGTTGTTGCGTGTCGAACCGATGGGCCTCCATACTTGGCAGTCAAGATTTCGAGGAGTTGTTCCTGACCATGTCCTCAACTCGTCCACGTCTCTTATTCGCCTTAAAACCATACAACGGTGATGAGTGGCTCTTCTACTCGTCACCTCACCCTCATAATCCCTATGAGAAGTCTACTGTAGTAGCGGCCGATTTTCACACCAAGTTCCCTAAAAGCCAAAGTGATTGTATCTATGCCTCTGGTTTGTTCTATTTTCCTGATGTGCGGATCTCAAAAAATAAGGACGAGGATTCCGTGCCTGTGATATGTAACCCTATCACGGGAAACTATGCGATCTTACCTAAACTGAGGACAGAGAGAGAGACCAAAAGATTTTTCGGGTTTGATCCAATTGACAGGCAATTCAAGGTATTACTCATCAATAATTCAGTTAATTATGAAACGGTTCATCATATTCTGACATTAGGAGCTGGAATAATGAGGTGGAGGAATATCCAATGTCCCTTAACCCATTATCCTGAGGGTAAAGGGATATGCATCAATGGGGTTTTGTATTACTTAGCGAGTAATGATGAAAAGCCATATATGATAGTTTGCTTTGATGTTAGGTCTGAGAAATTTAGGTTTATTAACAAAAAATGTCATTCTTATAAATTGATTAACTATAAGGGTAAATTATGTGGCATCTGTTTTAAGTATAAAAAAGATGGTGAATGGCGTACCCGTGAGTTACATATGTGGGTTCTAGAGGATGTCGAAAAACAGGAGTGGTCGAAATCTGTCTACCCATCTCCGGAGAACAGGAGTGGTAAAGGGCTTGCCGTTGTTGCGATGACTACTACAGGTGAGATGGTCTTGTCGGAGAACTTATCATCTAAGCCTTATAATGTTTTCTACTTTAGTCCCGAGAAGAACACTTTCCAATGTGTTAACTTCCAATATGTTGGAGCTAACCTTGAAGAGCATAAGCATCCTGGTGACGTTTATGCCTTTGGAGACCATGTCGAGGATCTTAGTGTTAACGATGCAAAGCAACTCAAGTCAAGCGTCTTTGATATTAGGAACTTAGGATCGTTTGAGAGCATTAACAAATTTGATGCTTTGCGTGTCGTTTAGATGATGATTAGTATACATGTGTCAAAACGTGATTGTTCCCTTGCTTTTCAAGTCAGCTAAACAAAAGCTCTCTATTGACACAAGTTATTTTTTTCTCTATTTAAACATCAAGTTGTCTAGTAAGTTCTTAAGGAATTAAGTTTTTATTCAAGTCAGAGCCATGGCTGAAATTGTGTTTATATAATTCTCTCTAACTTGCCTGTGAGTGTGACACTTCTCATTTACAGGTCTCGTTTGAGCTTTATTACTCTGCTGGCTTAGCATTTTTTTTTCTTTTTTCTTGATAGCATTTTGTTCTGGTAATTGTGTTACACGTTACTTGGGAGCAAACTAATATTTAATCAAAAGTTCTTATAAGACATCAAAAGTATATTTGTTTCCTCCTTCCAATTTGAAATGAACCAAACCAAATAGAAATTCCTATGTTTGCTAAACCAAAAATACAAAATCAAAGTCGAATCAAAAAATTGTTCAGGGATTCAGAACTCATATCATAAGGTCTCAAAAGTTCACTCTTAAATTTCGTCGAGATACTTTCTTCTGAATCTGTTCTGTTATCTGCTCGAAAGCCTACATCAGTGAAGCTTATGTTTTATTAGTTTTGAATTAACCAGCCACCTCCAACGTTTCTGAGCGATAACTTCCCTTGATCGTTGTTTTCCGCCTCGAATATTCTCAAGGTATCCGATTTTCCTTTCAGGACTTCAAGATCTTAGCTGTATAACTTGGAGCTACAACGATTCCATAGAACATTCTTGTTTCTCTATCTGTTGGACTTGAACCTTTAAAGAAGCTATAAAAAGATGGAGGTTTTATTTTGTGACTAAGTTGGATTATATTTTGTAACTAATATAAAAAGTGTGACACTTCTCATTTACAGAATTCGTGTGAGCTTTATTACTCTGTTTGCTTAGCATATTGTTTATTTTCTGGTTATGATCGTGTTTACATGTTACTTTGAATTTACTTTTACCAAATTACTATATGATCTTGTATATAACTGTCGTTTTAATCCCTATCTTAAATAAATATCGCAAGAAAAGGTGGATATAATATAAGCTAGAAAAAATGTTTCAATTGATATTTTTGTAGATATCATTGCTGAGAAGCTAAGAGTTTTTGATTTCTCAAATTTCAGTTTCTTCTCAAATTCAAATTTTGTCGCACTTGTTGTAAAAACGATATTTTTTTTGAATATAATTTAACATTAGATTAAAAAAAAAAAAAAAACAGAGGCCTTGAGTGAAGGACCAAATTAAATGTCAACATCTCTCCTCAAGCCAATTTGTTGATATTATGGAGCTTAATGTACTAGATCATATATAGAGTTCTTTCCAAGAGGAGGCAACAATGTGATGGATAAAATTGCGAGGGAAGCTTTTACAATTACATATGTAAATTTTGTTCCCAAACTTTATTCAACTGTGCCCAATTGACTAAGCCTTTAGTTGAGACCCATTAGATAATGTGGGGACATAATGCTTAGCCAAATGGTCCAATGGAGGCAACAAAGTCTTTGATAATGTGGACAAAGATCCATTAGAGGTATTACTTTATAAGAAGCGTCAAATGATTCCTCCACCACATAACAACATTCCGCCAATACATTGTCATCGATTTTAGTTTGTCAATTCTTTTTGGTTTTGAGTTCCTGATAAAGAACGTAGTGACCTTGAATACTGGAGATATAAGCATAGCTTGTGAAGTCCATTAACATCAAACGTCACGATTTTAGAATGAGCTTCACATGAGTCACCGCTTTTAAAAGATCTACTTCCGTTGTGGCTTCTGTTTGGATTCTTGAAACCACATTTTTCCTACATGTGAATCTAAATTGAGGTGCCTTGTTTGAGAAATCTGGTCATTTCCAAAAATGGCATCCACTTTATATATTTGTCGAAACCTAGAACATTAGGTCCAAAATATATTTAACAACTTTGTCATAGAGTATGTATATTTAACTTACCAGAATAAGTTGTAACCTATGGTGAAGGGAAAAAACGTACAAAAAAAAACGTTTTAAGTCTATTTTTCTTAATGCTATGTAATTTTTAGAAGATGCTCTGTGTCTTTTAGAAGATGATTAATGCTATGTAATTTTTCATATCATCTTGAAACAATATTTTTAATTCTTTCCGTTTAGAAAATATAGATCGACTGTGTTTTCTATATTAACAGCTTTT